CCCGGCGGGGCGGAGGCGGCTCCCCGCTCAGTCCAGCCCCGAGTCCGCACCGCTGGCCTCTGTCCAGAAACCGGTGTAGTTTGTTTTCGGTCAGAATTCGTGTGGGTTCTTCCTTCTCTTCCTGGCGAGGTCCGGAGACGGGCAGGAAAGTAGTGTGTGTGCCGGCGCGTCGTGCGGGCACTGCTGTTGCTTTTAAAATGACTGCAGCACTGAGGGGCTGAGGGAATCGGGGGGTTGCGTTGGAGTTGGTAAAAACCCTGTTGGGAACTTTGAAAACATCGGTTCCCGCATTTCCTTTTCCCTCTTAGAATTCTTATTCCTCTCCCCTCTCCCTCACGGCCTGCGCTTTTTTGTCTTGTGGCGGGTGTATGAGTAGTTAATGGCAGAGCGCATAAACTTTGACTAATGCAAATCGGAGGTGATTAAATGCCCTCCTAAACCCCCCATATAGGTAGTTTGGACTTTAAGTTTGATAGAACTAAGTTTAGATTACCATGTAATCGGATCGCAACATTTAAAAACCTAGTATTTGATTCAGTTTAACCATTTGTTTAAAAGACCAACAACGATAGGCCAAATGGAGTAACTTTTGCTCTGCCATGTAATCACACCAAAACTAAACCCCATTGCAGTTTGAGTCTCCTCTTTCTGCGGATACAAACCTTCCATTGTGTACAACTCATCGCACTCCCTCCCAGCTCCTGGATGGGATGCGCCTGTTTCATCACTTCAGTAATCGAGCCCATTAGATCTTCGAACTAGTTGAACTTTGTTATTTAACACCTTTTAGGGCGGCATATAAGTTAGCATACTCTTTTTTTTTTTCAGTACTTGATATCTGCACCAGCATGTAATTACTAAAAAGGAATATGAGCATTTAGCACCATTTCCTTTAGAAAGCTGCTTAGTTTAGGTTAAATGGAGGCCATTTAACATAACCCACTAATATCCGGGGTTAAGTACATATAAAGCACCTGCCACCTAATCAGTAATTATTTACTGCCGTTACTGTAATGATTATTTATAAAGTGTCATAACAGAGGAAGGTCAGGCTTTGCTTGTTTGTTTTTTGTGGCGGGCTGGCACGGTCATGGCATACTCAGCCCAGGGCGCCTTGTGTGTGGTGCCAGCTCAGCCAGGTTCGGTGAGCGTGAGTAGGGGCAGTGAAGGATTGAGAAAAGACAAGAGAAGAAAGCTGCGTCTCGGTGGAACGCTGTCCTCTCTGATGGAGACAGCAGCCCCAGAGACTACAACTGTGTCTTTATTTTATAGCCAGATGCCACGAGGCAAAGCAAGGGCGTGGTCACGATGTTTACAACATTCTTGTGGGTTTCGATCCTACTCAATTACATGCACCTGAACTCTATCAAGCCCACATCATTCAGGCACCTGGGGCCACGTGTTTGGACCATAGGTTCATGCTTACAACTACAGCTGTTGGCTATAATTGTGCTGGGAGGGCCCTGCCCTCCAAGCTGGGACTTGCACATGGCAATGAGCGGACTGAGCCCTCTCATCAGTCCAAGGCTTGAACCTGTCCAAAACACTGTAGCCGCTCCACATTTTTTTATGTTGCCCTTATTGAAATACCTAATTTTCTCTTTTAGAAGAAATCAAATAGCTTCACGATCAAAATAGATTTACTTCTTTATATATATAGAACAGTGGCTTTATGGAGGAAAAGTGTACAAATGTTTTTTTTATTCCAATGTCTTTTTTTCTCCTAATCCTCACCCGAGGATATTTTTTCCATTAATTCTCTACAGATAGTCGAAGGGAGGGGTGTGCGGCGGGGGATGGGCAGGTGGCTGGGAGGGAAACAGTTGGGACAGAGATACATGGATTGATTGCCTCCCACGCCAGGGCGGGATAGAACCTTCAATCTAGGCACGTGCCCTTGCCTTGACTGGGAATTGAACCTGAGATCCTTCTGTTCTTGCGCTGTCACTCCAACCACTGAGCCGTGCTGGCCAGGGCTCAAATGTGTTTTGTTTTGTTTTTAATTTTGTAAGAGTTTATTTGAACTAAAACTGACTACATAGGCCGGGGAGCAAGATCTCAAATGTTCCTAAATGTCATTGTTTTTAAATCTTATCTACTGTCTCTTAAACAAGTGACTAAATGGCCATGATTTTTTCAAATTATAGAAGTAATCTGGAAAATGAAATCACTACTTTCACTGCTTGAGTGGGGCAGAGAGGCAGGAAAATCAGAAGCCACTGGTACAGTACTGATAGCCAGGAGCTTATCCAAATTTACAACAAGCTTTACAAATCATTTTAATTAACAGCATGATATTCATCAGGGGGAAATAGGCAAAATGTAGATATGAGTGTAATGTATTCCCCACCCTCTCTCTCCTTCCTCCCTGGCAAATATGAGAATCACTTGAGTATATGCTCTTCTTGCTTTTTTCTGAAGCAGGGACAAGAGGCAAACAATACTATAGCACAGCGGTTCTCAACCTGTGTGTCGCAACCTCTTTGGCAGTCCAACAACCCTTTCACAGGGGTTGCCTAAGACCATCCTGCATATCAGATATTTATATTACGATTCATAACAGTAGCAACATTACAGTTATGAAGTAGCAACGAAAATAATTTTGTGGTTGGGTCACAACATGAGGAACTGTATTTAAAGGGCCAGAAGGTTGAGAACCACTGCTATAGCAGAATGGTTGAAAATTTGGACTTTGCGTAAGTCCAAATGATGCTACCTTGTACCATCCTGGCTACTGGAATCCCCAATAGTAAAGTGAAATATTTACGATTCGCCAGCATAGAAAAAAAATGATTATCCAGCATAGATAATGGCTACATTGACCTTCAGGTAGACTTGGACTTAGGTCATTACTCTTCCACCCTGTATGACTTTGGAAAAATTAGGAGGCAAGGGAATGTCGGTGGCAAGGTATGTATGCGTTCTGGTTCTTGGTCATTGTCTTGACTTTCATTCTACCAGTTCAAACCAGAGTGGATATATAATGAGGCTATTTTCATTTTGTTAAAAGAAGATCAGGTTCTAAGAGCAATGGAGCCTAAATTGCCAGTTGCTAGTATGTCATCACAGCCCAAAACTCCAAATCACTGCATCTGAGATGCCTGAATCTATGAGCTATAAAACACCACTGTTGCTTGCTGACATTAACAGTGTTCCTTGTTTTCAGACTGTAGCTGTGTCAGTGTGTTATGATGCCATCTCGTACTAACCTGGCTGCTGGAATCCCCAGTAGTAAAGTGAAATATTCCAGACTCTCTAGCACAGATGATGGCTACATTGACCTTCAGGTAAGTGCACAGGAGAGCTGAGGAGACTGGCTGGCTCTGTTTCTGATGAGCTAGCAGGAAGACCTGACTGTAGAGGTTTTTGCGAACTGTCCCTGGGGATTAGAGGGAGCAGCAAGAAAGAAACCCAGCACCTTTCAGCCATAGCCTGCAGAAGGAGGATCTTGGCGGAGCTGTTTCAAACCAATATGAGTACAGTTCCTTTTTAAGCATTTTTAGTTGTAATGCCAAAGCCCAGCAATTGCAAATTTTATTTAGTTTATCTGAAAAATAATCAGACTGTGTTTTGTTAAGTAGAAAAAAAATGGTAAGGGCTATGTCATCAGTTTGTTTATACTTTAGTCAAAGCCAGTTCACCTTTTAAGGGAGAAACTAACTGCTAAAGCCAGCAGATTGTGGAATTCCTTCCTCTTTCCTGACACCATGAGATCCAGTTTATTAAAGGTATTTTTGGTGGCAAACAGTAAGTAAAACAGAGTATTTATTAAGCTTGTACCCTACCCTGATGATTTTTTTAAAAACATATTTTGATTTTTTACAGAGAGGAAGGGAGAGGGATAGAAAGTTAGAAACATCGATGAGAGTGAAACATCGATCAGCTGCCTCTTGCACACCTCCTACTGGGGATGTGCTCGCAACCAAGATACATGCCCTTGACTGGAATCGAACCCAGGACCCTTCAGTCTGCAGGCCGATGCTCTATCCACTGAACCAAACTGGTTAGGGCTACCCTGATGATTTTTTACAAAATACTTAATGGCGTAGCATCTCCTTTTGCCCATTTCTCCTTAGAGGAGAATATTTTAGGTGGAATGAGGGCCAAGGAAGAAGAAGCAGGCAGCCATCCTTTTAAAAATAAACAAATCAATTATTTGTACTCTTTTTGGACCCGCACTTGAAGGAGAGAGGTGTTTTGTTTTGTTTTCTTTTTTTAGTATATCTGGAAAGTTTCCAGCCAGTTAGGTCAGAGAGAGCCATGAACCAAACCTTAGAAAGTTTGTTTGTGAATCTTAACCTTGAATTGAACTTGTGAAGGTAGGTTACTTGTTCCATGGGGCAGGCAACTTCTCCCACAGTTCCTCTGAGTTGGGCGGTGGCAGGCAACTAATGCTTTAGAAAAAGCTGTTTCTAAAAAACTTGGACTCTATGCTGACTTAACTCTAAAAGCCAGAAATCACTTATTTTCTTTACTTCTCCTGGGTACAAGCTTAATAAATACTCTGTTTTACTTACTGTTTGACACAGCTTCTCCAGATGTTCACTCTTGAATCCCTGTAGATCAGTACAGCCTTCCATGTACCAAGCACTTAAGTAATACATATCTAATCAATGAATAACCATAAAGTACCTTTTGTTTTGAAAAGAAAGTAGTTTTTTTATGGTCTGTGGAATGAGACTAGAACTAGGAAGAATAACATTCTGCTGGGACTGCTGGTGGAGCAGTCACTAGAGCTTCATCTCCTACCTATCCCTTTCCTTTCTCTCCCAGAGCTGCACTGGGTGGTAGGACTTACTTCAAGACACATGAAGCATTCCTATTGGTTCTCATTATCCTCCTTGCTTTAAAGTATCAGCCATGGTATTTTCATAATGCTCTTGTCTTTTTTTGTTTCTCTTTCAGTTTAAGAAAAGCCCTCCTAAGATTCCATATAAGGCCATTGCACTTGCTACAGTACTGTTTTTGATTGGCACCTTTCTCATCATCATAGGCTCCCTCCTGCTGGCGGGCTATATCAGCAAAGGGGTAAGCTGAAGGGTTTGTGGGTATTTGCCATGAGGTCTTTAAAATGTGAGCTAGGGCCCTGACCGGTTTGGCTCAATGGATAGAGCGTCAGCCTGCAGACTCAAGGGTCCCAGGTTCGATTCCGGTCAAGGGCATGTACCTTGGTTGCGGGCACATCCCCCAGTGGGGGTTGTGCAGAAGGCAGCCGATCGATGTTTCTCTCTCATTGATGTTTCTGACTCTTTATCCCTCTCCCTTCCTCTCTGTAAAAAATCAATAAAATATATATTTTTTAAAAAATGTGAGCTATGCCTTAACCGGTTTGGCTCAGTGGATAGAGCATCAGCCTGCGGACTCAAGGGTCCCAGGTTCGATTCCCGTCAAGGGCATGTACCTTGGTTGCGGGTACATCCCCAGTTAGGAGGTGTGCAGGAGGCAGCTGATCGATGTTTCTCTCTCATCGATGTTTCTAACTCTCTATCCCCCTCCTTTCCTCTCTGTAAAAAATCAATAAAAAATATTTTTAAAAAAGTAGCTAGGGCTCTATTGTTTTATATTCGAATCTAGTAGCACAGCAGAAAGAAGAAAAGGATTTTGTTTTGTTTTATAAAGATTTTGTTCTCTGATAACAAAACATGTGTTTCTTCCTTTGAGCACAGCAAACTTCTCCCACAGTTCCTCCGAGGTGGGTGGTGGCAGGTCAGCAAATTTTTCTTCTGAGTTGTTGGGCACTTTTCCCACTCTCATAGTTTGGGACAGCAAAACTAAGCCTGGCATCAAGGACTCCTGAATGACAAAGACTGTAACTGGAGTAGAACGCTGTTGTTGCAGCTTTGCAGTGCTACATTCTAGTCTGTTTGGGGAGAAAGAGTAAGGCTTGTGAGGTAGTGGCTGGGGGCCACTAACCAAGTGAGGACTCGGCTCATGAATCAGAGCCTTCTTGCATTGGGATTTGGTTGCAGTCCCTGGTAGGCTTTAGTACGATACCTTAGAAACCTGAAGTGATGTTTGGTGGTTCTTGGGCCGTATACAGACACTTAAACACAGCATCTAAGTTGTTCTGGCGTTGCTTGACCATAATTTATGTTTGTTCTTCAACACACACCAGGCGAAGGGATTATGGTCACATTGCTCTGCAGAAGGAACACAGCTAAGAACTGAAATTGGGCATTATCATTGGACTTGGCAATAGTAGCACTGTCACAATAAAATGGCAGTATATGAGTTTTAAGAAGTATATCTAATTAGGAAGTATATCTAATTAGGTCCTTAGCTGCTTAAAACTATTATATGGCCACCAGATGTTCATTTGGTATCCAGTTTGAACACCTGACTTCAGGACTGCACCTTCAGTTCACTTTTATTGCAGCATGCAGCATAAATCTCAGGAGTACAGTAAAGTGTCTATTAATCATGTTATAAAAATTGAAAGTGGAAGTGAGATCCACATGCAACAAATACCATTTTACCTTGTATGGTTTATAAAGACTGCTTTATAAAAAAGGATAAAGGTATTAAGTAAGAAAATCAGTAATAGCTTTTGTTTGGGTTTTTTTCACTTTTTGTTACACACATATCAAACAAAACAGAAATAGGTGGAATAATATAACGAACCCCCGTGTGTCCACCACTCCGCATCAAGAGTTATAAACATTTTGTTTCATCTATCAGCTATCCCCCTCAACTTTTTTTCCTGTCTGTTAAACCAAATACCAGATGTACATTTTCCTGGTAAATTCTTAAGTGTTCATCTTCAGTATGTATCTCTAACAGTTTTTACATATATCTAGGGGTGTTGTCTTACTGTCATTTACCTTGTTTTATTTCTCATATTTCTTGCAAAATGGTTAGAGTTAGGGGTTTGTTTATTATTTTTAAATTTTTTATTAACTTTAGAGGGAAAGATGAAGGGAGAAAGAGAAACATCAGTTTGTTGTTCCACTTATTTATGCATTCATTGGTTGCTTTTTGTTTTTAATTTCAGAGAGGAAAGGAGAGGGCTAGGGAGATAGAAACAGCAATGACGAGAGAGAATCATTGATTGGCTGCCTCCTGCACATCCCTTACTGGGGATCGAGTCCACAACCCGGACATATACCCTTGATCGGAATCTAACCCGGGACCCTTCAGTCCACAGGCCCACACTATCCACTGAACCAAACCAGCTAGGGCTCATTGGTTGCTGCTTGTATGTGCTCTGACCGGGAATTGAACCCACAGACTTGGACTCTCCAACTAACTGAGCTATTCTGCCAGGGCTAGGGACTTATTTCAATTTGGATTTAGTTTAGTTTAGAAAGAATGTGATTCTCAAACTTCAGTGTCAGTCTGAATAATTACCTGGCGGAATTGTTAACACAGATTTCTTGCTCCCACTCCCAGAGATTCCAATTCTAGTTAAGTCTAGAATGGGGTGTGAGAATTTGCATTTCCAAAAGGTTTCCAGGAAATGCTGGTGGTCCAAGGACTACATTTTGTGAACATTGATATAGCATAGAGAACTCTAGGAAGCACATAATGATTATCCTCATTTTTAGTTGATATTAAGATTGATCCCTGGCCCACCTGGTGTACTCGGTGGTTGAGCGTTGACCTATGAACCAGGAGGTTCCGGTTTGATTCCTGGCCCACATGTTGGTGGACCCCTTGTACAGTATCAAAGAGAAAGAAACAGAAAAGCCAGTTTTTAAAGAAACCATGCAGTGATTAGCCTGTGTTAATCCTAGTGTCAAGTACCTCACTGGGACAGGCAGGTCTTTCTGGAAGTTGTCTTTAGGAGGACAGAATTGTATGGTTACTCCAAATAATTGGGTGAACTTACTGTTTTTGGCTCTGCAGCATGGAGCCTAGATATGGAATTTAGCTATAGGAGAAGTGACTTGTTTGTAACTTATTCTTCCTCAGAGCCCTGGCTGGGTATCTCGGTTGGTTAGAGAACTGTCCCAGTATATCGAGGTTGTGGGTTTCATCCCTAGTCAGGGTACACACAAAAATCAACCAATGGCTGTTGAACCTCAGAGGGAAGGCAGGGTGGGAAGAAATCAACCAGTGAACATGTATGCATATATGTTTAACATGTGGACACAGACAATGGGGTGGTGAGGACCTGTTTGAGTGGACAGGAGTGGGCTGGAAGAGGTTTATGGGGGGGAAAAAGGAGGATCTATATAAAACTTTTAACAATAAAGATTTTGTTTTTTAATATTTTATTGATTTGTTACAGAGAGAAAGGGAGAGGGATAGAGTTAGAAACATCGATGAGAGAGAAACATCGATCAGCTGCCTCCTGCACACTCCCTGCCAGGGATTTGCCCGCAACCCTTGACCAGGTACATGCCCTTGACCGGAATTGAACCTAGGACCCTTGAGTCCGCAGGCTGATGCTCTATCCACTGAGCCAAAACAGTTAGGGCAACAATAAAGATTTTAAAAAATCAACCAATGAATGCATAAATAAGTGGAACAACTAATGTTTCTCTCTCCCTCTCCCTTTCTCCCCCCTCCTTCCAATCCATTCTGTCTAAAAATCAATGGAATAAAATATCCTCTGGAGAGGATTAACAACAACAATAAAAGAGAGAGAGGGAGAAACATTACTCTTAATCTGAAAAAAACATCGTTCCATAATTTTGATTTTTGCTCCACACAGACTAGGGATTTTTAGCCTTTTGTTCTGCCTTTGACATAGTTCACATGTACAAAACACTCCTGTCATGAATTTCTACCATTATATGTAGATTCTCATTTTGGGGGAACAGGGGCTGCTTATATTGGACAAAAGCCCAGGAGCGGCTCCAGAGCCCCTCTTGAGCAGGCCTGCCCCTTATTTGAGAATTGCTGTTCCAGATGAAGGAACAAACCCTCTATCTAAAACCAGCATAAGGAGGCAGTCTCCCTGGTAAGTGCCATGGGGAAAAATTGCCCCTTTCTTTCCTCCATTTTTTTGGGTTTTTTCTTTTTCTCTTTCTCAGATGGCCTTTCCATGAACTCTGAGGACTTATTGGGGAGGATTTGGGAGGGTAGGGCTAAAGAGAAGGCTTTGCTGATAAGCTCAGAGCCTCAAGGGACCCAGCAACATCAAACTCCTCTCCCGTAGGGCTCTCCAGCACATGGAGGAAGGCGGAAATCCTTTTCCCACCAGAGCCCTGTGGTTTGGTTCCAAGGCCTCCCTGTGGCTTCCCCATTTTACATACTCAATAAGAGGAAGGCCCACTGGGGCAGCAGACACTGGCATGATTTCAATGAGCTATTCACCCAAGTTGACCGGGCCTGGGCCAAGCAGCTTGGTTATTTAAGCACGAGGGACGTGTTCTGCTTCCCTAGGAGCTGAGTGCCAAGACAGCATACAAATGCTTCTAAAGTTGCCTTTTCCCACCTAAAATACCCTGCCCTTCTATCCCTGTCAGGTTCATGTGGCCTGCCCTGATGTTTCCATAACATCAGGAAATAGAACCCTTTGTCCCTTTGTCCTTCATCCCTGTTCACAAGATACGTCTATGGCTCTGCCTTCCTTGTATTCTCTTAAGCTTCCTACTCCGATCCTTGTGCCTGTTTCAAGCTGCTGCTGCCTCTGTTTCTGGTGAAGATTTTCAGAGCTGGGCTCAGGCCTCTCAGTGCTGTGCTGGGTATCAGCATTGTGTTTTTAGCTTTTACACATGATCGTGCTGTCATTCTGTTTAACCTAGTAAATCAGTGGCCTTGTTTACAGTGTGATATTTTCTATTAAATCCAATATATTTTTTAAAACCATTATATTAGTTCCAGGTGTATAGTACAATGATTCAGTATTTGTATATATTGTGAAAGATCACCACAGTAAGTCTAGTTAACATCCATCACCACACAGTTACACGTTTTTTGTGTGTGATGAGAACTTTTAACATCTACTCTCTCATCAACTTTTAGATACAGAGTACAGCATTCTTAACTGGAATCACCATGCTCAGGACTTATAACTGGAATTTTGTACCTTTGACTATGTCACCTCCCTACCACACAATGACGAGCTTTTAGTAATATTTTGGCAATACCTTGTTATAAGAGACAAAAGGCACAGGGTGTGTTCATAACTAAAAACTTTAAAGAAGGAGCAGAAGAAAATACGCCAAAATATCTTATGAACATGGATAATTTATTTTCTTTGTAATTTTTTTGTATTTTACAGTTTTTCTACAATTGGTAATCAGGAGAAAAAGAGATGTCAAACCTTTGCTAAGTAGTGTACTATCCAAAGAAAATGCTCTGAAAAGTATAAGATGCTGATCTATGGATTGGACTCATCATGTGTTATTTTATTTTAAATTTTATAACTTGTGTGATACTAATGCATTTGCCTCCTTTTGCCACCAGGGGGCAGATCGGGCCGTTCCTGTTCTGATCATTGGCATCCTGGTGTTCCTGCCAGGGTTTTACCACCTGCGCATCGCTTACTATGCATCCAAAGGCTACCGGGGTTACTCCTACGATGACATTCCAGACTTTGATGACTAGCACCTACCTCAGCCCTGAGGAGCAGAGTCAGATGGGACTGAGCTCAGCTTTAAGATACTGAGCAGAAACTATAGCTTAGGGCTAAGGAATTCTGCAGGTTGCAGATACTTAACAAAACAATGGCCATGTTTTATGAGTGCATCCTAAGAGCTTACAATTAGCTAACTAGGGCATGCTCTATATTTCATCTCCTGGCCCTGACCAAAAGCTGACAAGTTTTTCCACATGAACGCGTATCATGGAAGAAGAGCAATGTTAATTGGAGAAAGTGGGAGGTTATTCTGTAATGGGAAGTGTTGCTGCCACCACCATTTTTAGAGTTGAGCATTTCTTTTAAATAGTCTTTATTATCAGTTTGTTCTTTTGGTAAATGGAAGAATGCAGTATGTCAAATTTCTTATTACTAAGTAATTTATTTTGAAAATACATAAGTATCTTACCCCCTGTTCTAGTGGAAGACCTTGGCAAAATCAAATATTAGTGTGGGTGCATCTGAAATACTTTTTACTTACTTTCTTATTCAGAGCAAGCAGGAATTTCAAACCTCAGAGCAAGTTTTCAAAATGTAAACACTTTTTCTGCTCACCATTCCTTGACCAGCACTGATCTGGCTCACAGTTAGGTTGGACACCATATAATTTGGGTTTATCCTTTATAGATTAAGATGTTCTGTATGTCATGCCTTTAAGGACTAGACTTTTGGCTGTTTTCTAAGGAAAAATGTAGATAAGTGGTTGTTATTTTAGAGTTTATAACCCTGTGGTTAGCTTATTTTATGATATCCTTGATCTGAAGATTGCAAGATTTGGCCTGGATCCCGAGGGGCCTAGACGGCCTGAGTTTGACTCTGTTTCCCAACTTGCAAAAAGTGACTTATGTTCAAAACAAAATGTCAAAATCTAAACCCTACACTTAAAAATGAGTTAACTTTAAACACATTTCAGAAAACATTTTAATGATTAAATGATATCTTAGATCCAAATACCCAGGACTACTTCTATTTTTAGATAACTGGCATTGTAGGTCAGCCTGCTTTCCAGTCATTCTTTTACTCTGAGGTTGCGTATTGGCAGCTAGAGGCCTGGAAGTGCTATTAGCTGGGATTTGTAGGGCTGTGGGTAGAGCAAGTTTAACTGGGGAAGATGAGTTCAACTTTGGGTGTGTTAAGTTTTAGATGTCTGCTTGACATTCAAAAGGAGCTGTTGTCAAGGCAGTTGCAATGCACAGGTTTGCAGTTCAGGAAGGGAGTCTAGGCTGGAGGTAGAAATTTGGGAGTCGGTGTTGGGACAATATATCCAGGAACTATGGGGCTGCATGAGATCACCCACAGAATAATGTACATGGGGGAAAAACATGAACTCAGGAGATGAGGGTCAAAGAGGGTGACCTGAAGCAGCCTCCAAGGTTAGATACTTTGTTAATGGGTGGGTAGGTTGGGGAGTCCAGTAGTCTGAGTAAAGTTCTCTGGCCTTGGCAGTGAAGATGTGAGGAAATACTCAAAGCTCTGTCCTGGGCAGTATGCAAAGCAAAGCTCAGACCAGAAGGTCTTTTTTGTAAGGGTAATGATGCTGTTCTTAAGGATAGGGAGGAATGGAACAGGAGGATATAAAGTGGAAAGTAAGCATTTGGTTGGGGTGAGTAAACATTTGCTCCCCCACCCCATTTCCCAAGGTTATCTAATAAGTTTCTTATATACCCTTTCAGAAACATTCTAAGTATGTATGTGTATATCCTTTAAAACAACAACAACACATGGTCTCCTATTGTATAGTTTTATAATTTCTTTTTTTCTACCTATTTTTTAAAATATATTTTTATTGATTTCAGAGAGGAAGGAAGATGGAGAGAGAGGTAGAAACATCAATGATGAGAGAGAATCATTAATCAGCTACCTCCTGCACATCCCACACCCAGGGATCGACCCACAATCAGGGCATGTGCCCTGACCTGGAATTGAACTGTGACCTTCTGGTTCATAGGTTGACGCTCAACCACTGAGCCATGCCAACCAGGCTCTACCTATTCTATTTTGTATATCTTTCCATATCTGCAGAGATCAGCCACATTTTTTATTTATCTTATTTTACCTGAGGATATTTTTCCATAGATTTTTAGAGAGAGTGGAAGGGGGGCAGCGGGGAAAGAGAGGCATCAATGTGAGAGAGACACATGGATTGGTTGCCTCCCTCAGGTATCCTGACAAGGGCTGGGGATCGAGCCTGCAACTGAGGTTCGTGCCCTTGACCAGAACTGAACCCGGAACCCTTTAATCCACAGGCCAACGCTCTATCCACTGAACCAAACCAACTAGGGCTTCAGCCGCATTTTTTAAATGTAAATTGTAAGTACAGTTTATCATGTTGTGCATGTTGTTATAGGGTCCTTAGAGTAAAGACCATAAAAGTTAGATTCCTAAAGCATGAATTCTTTCTTGGATGTCCCCTGAGGGATGGTCCTCCTTCTGTTTGAACATTCAGGCTCATAATTTCATTCCATTTGGGATTGTTACAGGTATACTGTTTATTAAGCCAAGATCCGAATCCCTGTAAATATGCATTGACAGCAGTTGTATATTCTGGTGCTTTATAGAAAACATCTAGCCCGGCTGTCATGACTCAGTGGTTGAGCGCCAACTATGAACCAGAAGGTCACAGTTGGATTTCCCGGTCAGGGCACATGGCATGGGTTGGGGTGTGCAGGAAGTAGCCAATCAATGATTCTCTCTCAGCACTGATGTTTCTATATCTCTCCCTCTCCCTTTCTGATATCAATAAAAGTGTATTTTTCAAGAAAGAAAACACCTAGATCTCCATAATAATAGTGAATGTTTCTTGAACCCTTTTGCCCAATGTTGTGTCAAGCACTCACATTATGTAGTCTATTTCATTCTAGTTCTTGGGGAAAATCTTGAGTTGGATAAGATTCTTAGGTAATAGGTTGGATATTTGCAAGTCAAATTTAGGAGAAGCCTGAATTTACTCTTACCAGGTATGAAAGCCAAATGACTTTAGGGGCTGGACAAGTAAAGAAGTGGGAGGGGAGTATGCACTGTGGTAGTAGGGATGGGTGTCAATCACTAAATGTATATATTACCTAGTAAGTGGCTGTCTCTCCCTCCCCTCTACCCTGGCCCCCCCCCTTTTTTAAAAATATATTTTATTGATTTTTATTTTACAGAGAGGAAGGGAGAGAGAGTTAGAAGCATCGATGAGAGAGAAGCATCGATCAGCCGCCTCCTGCACACCCCCTACTGGGGATGTGCCCGCAACCAAGGTACACTGCCTTGACCAGAATCGAACCCAGGACCCTTCAGTCTGCAGGCCGATGTTCTGTCCACTGAGCCAAACCGATCAGGGCTACGCTGGCCTTTATAGTGTTGGCCAAACCATGTACCCTAGCCTTATAAGGATTTTCTTATTTGCAACAATTATGACTCTCAAGTCTAAAAGTCCTCCCCCATTCCATCAGCTGTCTACATATGATGGCTATTCCAGACCCATTGTCTCTGGATGAGCTTCACCTGGTCAGTGTGCCAGAAGCATTTTGACTGCTTCCTTTCTGCCAAGAATTGTCAAGTGCTGAAGGTACAACAGGAAAAGATAGAGTTTGGTTAGTGAAGAGCAGAGTTTGCACACTAGTGACCACAGATGTTGGCTTTCATTTTGTTTTTAAAAACGGCAAGGTTCACATTATGTTGATTTTTGGCTTTTCTTTGTTACTGAGAGACTACAACCAACTGGAGCAAGGTAGCCAAGCAGCTTTGGCTGAGCAGAATTCTCCAGTTCATTGCACTTCTCATCACTGCTTAGTTAATTTCATTCCCAACCTTATGTTAATTTTCTTCGTTAAGGGCAAAGTATCTGATGAGCTAGTGCTTGTGGTCATTTGGGTTTATTGATGAAGAACCAAAGCCAAGAGTGCATTTCTATCCGAGGACACTTCCTGTGAGGTATGGACAGATGGGCTGGTACCATTTCATTCATACTTTCCTAAATGACCCTCCATCACCTGCCTGGCAGACCATCTACTCGTTAGAGTTGGTGCTACTCAGTGAGTCAAGTACGGTGCGCTCAGTTCACAACTACAATGGGGCCTTGACTTACGAGTGTCCCGACTAACGAGTTTTTTGAGATACCAGCTATCTCGGCAGATTTTTTGCATTGAGTTGATAGAGTAATTTGAGTTAACGAGCTCCTTAACGAGCTTGGTCTCTGAACGAATTGAACTCATAAATCAAGGCCCCATTGTACTTGTGAGTCCCCTCCTCTGTGGTCATGCAGTGTTCCTGCTAGCTGGCACAGAAGAACCTCCTGTTACTGGTGTGGTGAGAAGCTAGTGGAGGGACAATCATAGCCTTGACTTTTTGCTGACCTTCAAAGGGTGATAAACCAAATCAAGTCACTTTAGTTATCTTGCTCTGTCATCTAAATTCCTTTCCTTAGCCTGGCTGTTATGGCTCAGAGGTTGAGAGTTGACCTATGAACCAGGAGGACACGGCTTGATTTCCGGTCAAGACACATGCCCGGGTTGTGGGCTCAATCCACAGTAGGGGGTGTGCAGGAAGCAGTGGATCAGTGACTTTCATCATTGATGCTTCAATCTCTCCCTCCCTCCCTCTCTTTTCCTCTCGGAGATAAAAATCTATAATAAGGCATAAAAAAAATAAAAGCATGATATGCTAATTAGACCAGAAGACCTTCCGGACAAAGCCAGTATTACGAGGGAATCCTGGGTCCCAGTGCCGGCAGTGAGGGGAAGGAAAGCCAACTCTTGAATGAATTTTGTGCATTGGGCCTCTAGTATATATATATTTCTTTTTTCTTTTTTTTTTCAAAATATTTTTTATTGATTTTTTACAGAGAGGAAGGGAGAGGGATAGAGTCAGAAACATCGATGAGCGAGAAACATCCATCAGCTGCCTCCTGCACACCCCCTACTGGGGATGTCCCCGAAACCAAGGTACATGCCCTTGACAGGAATCGAACCCGGGACCCTTGAGTCCACAGGCTGATGCTCTATCCACTGAGCCAAACTGGCTAGGACAATATATTTCTTTCCTGAGGCTTCTTTCCTTGACTCCTGGTCTTAGGTGTGTGATTCAATCATGGTTAGTGCCACTGTGGGAAGGCATAGACTATGCATTAGCTACAAGGTATTGGGAAAATTACCTCTTGGGGCTCAGTTTCCTCTTGTAAAGTGGCATAAACCAGTTCCAACCTCATAGAGCAATTGTGAGGATTAAGTAAAACAATGTGGGCCTTGGCCAGGAGCTCAATTGGTTAGTGTGTTGTCCCAATAAGCTAAGATTTCAGGTTCAATCTCCAGTCTGGGACATACAAGAATCAACCAGTGGATGCATAAATATGTGGAACAACAAATCATTGTTTCTCTCTCCCTCACTAAAATAAAAAAATAAAGGTTTATAAAATGAAACTGTGGGAGAGTGCTTTACACAGAGCCTGGCACATAGTAACCACCCAGTAAATGGAAGCTGCTCTTTGAGAAAGTGAAGGTCAGACTTTGGCCTCAAGCAGTAGTGCCTGAGGAGGAGGGGAGAGCCCGTCACTTTTTCCCGAGGCCAAACTGAAGAACCTGCTTCATGACGGAGCTACCCCAGAGCTAAGGACCCGAGCCAGCATGGCAGGCAGCCCCAGCCAAGGCAGGGCTGGAAGGTGGGAGGTCCCCAACCCTGGCCCCCCTCCTCCAGTGTGCCACTGGGCCTGGGAGCCTTCTCTGGAATAAGGGAATCAGGGAGGACCAAAGCACCCCACTGTAGCCAACACGGCCACAGGGGCCCCTGCCCGGGAGGCCCTGCAGGGAAGGCCGTGAAGACAAGGTAATGCAGCTGGAGCTCCTGCAGATTAGCTCTCCCTGGACCTTGCTCTTTCCTCTCTGTGCTCCCCATGATTCCCATTTCTACCTCTTTCTGCATTCCTTTCCTCAGTCTTGCCCCTTTGCTTTTCAGAGTGGTCCGTGGACCAGCAGCATCAGCATCACCTGGGAGCTCCTTAGAAATATAGAATCTGGGGCTTGCCCCAGCCCTGCTCAATCAGAACCTGCATTTAACACGATCTCCAGAGGGTCCATTGCATGTCAGTGTCTAAGAAGCACTGGTCTGGAGTACCCTGCACCTTCTAGTCCATTTCCTCACTTTGAGACTGGACCTCCTGGCAGCCAATGGCTGAGGGTGGGATGCACCTAAGGTATAGCCCAGTGGTCGGCAAACTCATTAGTCAACAGAGCCAAATATCAACAGTACAACAATTGAAATTTCTTTTGAGAGCCACATGTTTTAAACTTAAACTATATAGGTAAGTACATTGTTATTAACTTAATTAGGGTACT